GGAAAACCCGGTGACTTCAGTAGGATTTGAACCCACTACAGCAAAGGTCAGGCTGGAGTACAGCCCGGGCTCTAACTCCCTGAGCTACGAGGCTCCGTTCGGAGGGAGAGTGTGAGTTTAATCACACCTGAATGCAGTTATCCGCTGAGTCTGCTGCAACCTATGGTAACCACCCATTCTGATATAGTAAGCTGACTATTCAAGCAGGATTTCCTAACAATCTATCTAGAATCCACCAGAAGACTACCAGGCACACTGAAGTAATAGGTGGTTTTGGCGGATTTGATATTTTGCTTGACCTATTGTGAAAAATTCGGTGCCTCTACTTTCGTGGACCCAAATGGCATCGAGACCGTCAGCTATTTCACAGTGAGATCAGATGAATGCATGTGAATGTTTTTTAAAAGTGGAAGAAAATGGATTCTTTAGCAAAACTATTGCAATAATTGTCCAAGCTTCCGGATTTTGACATAAACGTCTACCCCTCAGAAACACTGAAGGGATAGTGTGAAATAAGCTTCCATTGTAGTTTCGCAGTTTGTCTGCCAGATGCGTTCTTCCCTGACGACGTAATCATGCCATCTGGCGATGAGCGAGATATGCGTTGTACCCGGTAGTTAATAATTATTCCTGTTTTGGGGTTTTCTAAAGTATGTCTATGCGCTGTCACTTTTGTGTTTGAACCACCTTATTCGCTGACTGTGGGATCGCCTTTCCAGTTCGCCAGCTTTTGCCCATAGATTCGCGAACCCAGCGCTTTCGACTCTTTTAAAGATGGAATCCTCTGACTGCTTAGCACTCAACTCTGTGGTAAGCGTATGAGAATGTGTTGGAAAGTGCCAAAGTTGAAATGTGTCTCATTTGCTTATCCTCTGCGAGCGAATACGGAAGCGCTAATTGATGAGTGTGCGTAGGTAGCTGAGTTTATTTGTTCCTTTTTCCGAGTCGCCTTGGGTTATTTTGCCCACTTTGAAGAGCGCCCTACTACAACTCAGATTATGAGCCACGGGTCGGCTTCTACGACAGTCCACCACCCCTGTCTTCTCCTCACCCAAGCTCGCGAGCGGTGAGGCGGCATAAAACTGATTAACTGTTATTTGTTTTCCTTTTCTCCGTCGATGACTTCTAAGAGATCTAAATACTAGGGCAAACATATTCGCCATTCCACGAAAATACCCATTAGGCAGCGCATTAGAACAAAATTAGCCTAAAGTCTGTTCTCGCGACGTCTTCAGTGAACCATGATTCCCACGTGTCTGTGGTCAAATTTTCTGGAAAATGAGTTTGATCGCTTGTAGAATTCATACACTTCTGACCGGTACTGTTTGTTATTGGTTTTTTATTGGCTATTCTACGGCAAACTTACGTATGTACTTTAAACTTGTCTATTGCAGGCTACCACGCTCCAACAGTCTTGCAACACGAAAACGATCCTGTTGCTGAATAAGCTGGAATTACCTCGCGTTTTATTTTTGGGATAATTAATTTAGCGGGGTGCTTTGAAAGTGAAATAAGCCAAAAAGGTCGGAAATTTTATTGCTTTTCCGTAACGTCGGGACATTGAAACGTCCCATCTGGCATCGTTATAATTGAAATAAAAAGTATTAAATGGTATACAGTAGCTATGTTATCTCCGGAAATGTAAACCGAAATTCTAAACTTCTTTTTCGCTTCAAGGAAACTGAATTACTTATCACACAGCATAATCCCAAGGTATTTCATTCACGCCAGAATGCCGGCTTTTGAACGAGATTTTTTCTGACTGCCTGAAAAAACGAAACGCTATAAAAATGACTGTTTACAATGGTATGCACTTTCCCATTTATTTTCGATATAGTTGTAAAGTTAAAACTATGTTCTAGAAAATTATGTCCTCATTGAATTTGAGACTTGACGAACGGGTATATTTCGGTTTTCAAAACTGTTTCAACGCGAAAAACTTTGAACGTGACCTGCTGTTACGTGCGTAATCCAGGCTTCCGGACTCTGAGCTCTGTTTTGTTTTCATGTAAGGAAAATCATACATTGCTATACGCTCATACGAGGTTGTCCCGTAGGGCTTATAAAATATAGCAGTGCATGCTAACCATTTCGTGTACTTTACCAGCAGCACCATTAAACGAACCGCTAAGCTTTTTTAGGAATGGACATTTCGCGGTCATACAAAATCTTAATTATAAACTTTTACAACCTCAAGAGACACCCTTTCTTCAAGAATACAATTTAAACAAGATCTACTCGAGAAAAAGAAGCAGTACTTCTCTACCAGCTGCATATAACAATAATGTTTTCGTTCATGAATCCTGTAAAAAATAGTTCAATCTCTCAGGACAGTAAAGTCTATGGGGAAAATACATACTACATACGTAGTCATTTTCTACAGAAATTTCTTTTCATTTGACTAGAAAGAACTTCAGCCAAAGTTAAAGTAGTGCACTTCATGTACCCCTAGTCCTAATATTTAGAAGGACAAAGTGCACTACTTAAACTACCTTTACCGAAAGATTTTCTCAAATTTAAACCGTGACAAGATAGCGATGAATTTACACCTACATTTTTCGACTCTCCTCGAGTTTGTTACTTGAGGTCCTGTAAGTGATTTGGCTAGAACGAATAGCTTCAAGCATGCTAGAGAAGTCTACGTTCTTTTAAGCAGTCAACGCCTCTGGTGACATGCCTGTCGCCTAAAGTTGAAATTTTAACCAGAAAGTAGTTCATAATGCATTTTCTTGGGAACCATCCTGAGCACTTTGGGATATATAGACGGATTTTTGAATACTCGCGTCCCTGTTCAGCTGCCTGTCAATCGCCTAATTTTCGAGTTGTAAGTATAACGACAGTGTCTGACGC